TCGGGCTAGTGCAGCCCAACTCATGTGGGTTTTAGGCAATTGACGGACTGGGCTGGGCTAGTCCACTATTTTGATGGGCCTTATAATGGTCAGCCCACCCCAGCCCTATGTGGGTTGCGGGCCCCCATGGGCCGTCCCATTATTTTTTTAAAATATAATTTACATTTTTTCTTTAAGTTCTAACCTAAAAAGATAATTATTTAAAAGTTAAAAAAATCTTATTGGAAAATTTTCACAAAACTTAATAACTTTTTATAATGTTCTAATATATGATAAACACTAAAAAAAAGTAAAAGACAAGACTAATATTTTAAGACTATTCAAGTCAAAAGTCAAAACTCAAAACAAACTATTCAAGAGAACATCCATTATGCTTACGGGTCCAACACATCATCTTCATCAAATATATTTGAATCCGCTTGTGAGAAGGTTGTCTTAATATCTTCACTTTCATCTACATCTATAATTCGTATGCAATATTAATTAGTTACCTTATTTCAGGTGGGTTAGTGCGTATCTGTTCGGGTGGAGGCGGACAATGAAAAGACAGAAAGGAACGAATGATGCCAACCAACTCGACAAAGACATTCAGATATGAAAAAGATAAAGAAAGACGTGTTAAGCTTGTGTTTTCCCAGCCGACTCGCACACTACCGTCTTTTTTTCGATTGAAGAGTCGGACTTAAATATTAAGAATAATTAAAATTTTAAAACTAATTAATGTTTTAAGACTTTGGTATTTTAATATGATGGGCTTAATAAACTTTAAGCTTAGATACTCTTCTTGATATATTTTGTGTCGTATAATTTTTCTATTTTATATATTTCAAATATATATTTTTATTAGGCTCACGGGCCGGCCCAGTCCAACCTCAGTCAAGCCTCACGGCCGCAGGCTTACTCGAACCGAGTTTAAAAATCTCGTTTTTAAACAGGCTTAAAAAATTCTAATACAGCCCTGCTAAATAACGGGTTGGGCTAGACTGGCCCAACAGGCCAAGTCTATATTGACGGCTCTAATTAGAATTATGTCAGGAGCCATTAATCGTATCCCTTGCTGTCTTAGCAAGTCCAGTTCTATCTTTTCCCTTTTAGACGGAACATGTCTTTTGGTTTGTTGATGAGACAATTTGTAACAGCGTTTAGGAAAAATCAAAAGCATCCAAAGGAGACAACTAATATGCAAATGGATTGGTGATGTTATTGAGACTTGGTTGGTATTGTAGCTGATATTTTCTCGTATTATTTTTTCTATTTTTAGCGTATTCATGGAATTGCATTAATTATACCTGATGTATGCATTAAGCTTACTTAATTGACGCTAAAAAGAGTAGATTACATATAGGTTTTCTTTCCTTGATTACCAATAGATATAATTGCTACGGCTTTGCAATACATTGTTCTTATAATTTAAACTTTGCTTTTTATCAAAATATTTTACAAACAATTATATTTACATGAAGTATAAAAACAAGTGAATAAGCATCAAAGATTTCTTTTCTACATTTTGTTTATCATATGCAAATACCCATAATTTAGTAATATATATTACCTGAGTTTGTATTTGTATTAATTTTCATGAATCGTTCAGTTATATCAAAGTTAATAAAATAGATAACTTGTAGTACTTTATACAGAAATATTTGATTTTGTAGTTTATTACAAATATTTGCGTCTTGTTGAAGTCCATCCTTGGCATTGGGTATTGGAAAGTGATTTAAAAACCCACCATGCTTTTTATTCCAACATATTAAACCCCACCATGTGGTTGTGTAGATTCAGACCCAAACATCGAGCATTGATATTTGTGAGATAGAATTATTGTTTTTCTTCTCCAAAAACGAATAAAATCATTCCAACAACGGTTCACCCCAATTAAAAGCATCATTCAATCTCTCATCTTCGCTGGATTATACAGTATTTTTCTTGAGAATTGATTGCAACCCAAGACTTTGCAAATACATTTGCACGTTAGAATAATCCAACATGAACAAAGAGGTAAGTGGGTTCTTTGGGCGGAGAAGGATGATTTACTGGTGGTAATAAATTTGTATTTAAAAAATAAAGCTAAAAAGGAACAATGGTGAATCTTTCATGAGATACTATTGAACCAACCAAAAAAAAAAAAAAAATCCTTGTTCTCCCTTGGTGCTCTCTTGTCTCTCTAGTGACTGAGAGATGAAACAAATCTTAATGGTTAATTAAGATTATTAGTATAAATTATGGAAATACCAAAAATAAAAGATTTTTGACGTGGCACTGACACGGTTCTGACGCGGCACTGACATGGTTTTGACATGGTGTGCATGTGTAAAACAGCTCATATTATGAGACTGGTATTAGTATTTCAAGGGGGAAATAATTCACTCCAAATAAGTTTAGGGGATAAAAAATCACCCATTTAGTTTAAGTGTTTAAATATATTTTTTAGACAAGTTTAATAGGGTCTTTATACTTTTCAAATAGTATGAGAATTCTTTAGTGTTGTCCATATGCCAAATTCCAATCCTTTCTTCTATTTACTTTTTTTAGATATATACAATCTCCATTTCTGGAAGGCTATGTATGGATGATCCTTCATAAAAAGTGAAATTTATCCTAATATTAAATAAAAGGCGGATTACCTTACATCAATAGAAATAATTTGATAATGTAAAACCTTTATACTATGAATGTATATAAATTAAACTTTATACGTTTGAACACAAATAATGTTCTTTTAGAGGGTAGTGTATTGACAAATACAAAAGATTGCAGGAGCCTCACTTCCAAATAATTACGAAGAATTTTCACAAAGCACTATCGTTTGGAACCTAGTAATTTTGTAACTATAATTTGCCTAATCGCTATTCTTAGCTATTGTTCAATTGTTACTAGTTTGTATTACTTGTATTCAAACGTGCAACGAATACAACATGTGTCAACTATATTTATTCACGCAACGAATACAACCTGTATCAACTGTATTCGTTCGCGCAATTATATTCATTCGCGCAATGAATACACCATGTATCAAATGTAACCAAGGCAAAACACAAGAGTGTATACAAAGGATACAACTTGTATTGACTGTATACAAGGGTGTATACAAGTTGTATTCATTTGAATACAACTAAGGCGAAGTACAGAAATATAGAAAAATAAAATGCTCTTGTTGAGAGTCGAACTCAAGACCTTCACTAACTATAAAATTCAAATATAGTTACCAAGGGTAAATTTGCTGAAAGTTAGCTACGAATAATAAATACAGTATAAATATTTGATGTATCGCGTAATTTTCCCAATAATTATCCTGTTTGAGTAGCTAACTGCTTCGGGCTGTGATGTCCGAGGCCATATATACTAACAGGCGCATTAATAATCTATTATATCAAGTAACCATTGTATTATTGAGATTTTTCCTATCTATGTATATTATAAATTTATTCACCATTTCTAAAGAGGTTATCACTTAATTACATTATCATATACAAATTATTATTTATATACAAAATAATTTATTAGACTTCAATCATATCAATTTTTTCTCCCTCCTCTTCCTTCCCCAAGTTTGTATCAAATTGCGTCTAGAATATTCCGATGGAAAAACTCACTGGTTGTCTTTTCTCTCTCCATCTTCTGCTACGATCAGATTCTTTGCCCCTTCGATTTGTCTTTTTAATTACTTCTCTTGAATGTTTCCCATGAAATAAGAATGGTGAAAGGGCTTAGATTTATCTAAGAATTCACCCGAACGTGGATGGCACTGAAGTACGCTGATAGTGTATCTCAGTCTCTCTCAATTTGGATGAATAGGCCAAGGAAACTCCATCAATTTAGTGTGCTTGACGAAGCAATAGAGACGAAGCCATCAAAATGTGAAGCAGAAGAAAAGAAACATCACCTTTAAATTAACTAGGTGTATCCTACACTCAACCCATTATGAAATTGTTATTTAGTTGAATTTGGTGTTATTTTAAATGATTGGGAATATTCTTTAGAGTTTATATCCCAATTTTGAAAAAATTTGGTGAAAATTCGAGGTGGTTTTGGTTAGAATTTCAAATTGAAACTCGAAGAAGAAGACATAAACAAATTGTATATATTTTATATGTCGGGTGTAAAAACGACATACAAAATATATACAATATAAGTTGTATGTAAATTCTAGTTTTTAACCGGATTTTCAATACAAAAAATTCTATTTAAGCGTTGTAGATATATTGTATCCAAGTTGTACATAAATAAGTTTAAAATCTCCTATATATACGAAAAAGTAAAAGCAAAATATTTAAACTAATTATTTAAAAGCAAGTTATTTTGTTTATGTAATTTTCAACAACAATATATTTAAACTAATTGTATTAAGGGGGAAAAGGCGGTTATTGCTCTAGAGGCGCACGTTAGCAAGGAATAGCTAATGTACGCCGATAACGATGACTCGCCGGAAAACTAATCGGAAAGCACAATCTCAGCAACCACAAATGGAGGAGAATACAAAGGAATCAACGAATCGACTAGTCACACCGGAATCAGGAACTGTACAGCAGCTAGCTCCAATTCAATTGGTACAATGGATGACAGGAATGGGAAGTGCACCGACGATCATGCAGGGATCAAAATCGATGGATACTGAAACTATAACTGAAAAGGAGAACCAGATGGCTACAGCAGCTCGAAAATTGACATACTCTACTGGATCTGGAGAACAAAAACGTACTATGGCGGAAGTGGTTAAAGGCAATAGAACAATGCAACAAGGATTACAACTGAAATTCTACCCACCAGAAATACGAGATGGAATTAAAGTTGTAAAGCTGAATCAGGAAGAAATTGAAATGCAGTGTAAGAAATGGGAATCAGCTCTAGTAGGCTATGTTATGGGAGGCAACCCTACGTTCAAGGAGATGCTGAAATTCGCCTATGGAGTATGGAATTCAGTAACTACTCCTACGGTTCTTATGCATGATGATGGTTACTTCATTTTTAGATTTTAATCAATTAAGAAAAAAATGATGACTATGGCAAAAGGGCCTTATACTTTCAATAATAGACCTCTGGTGTTGAAGAACTGGATGCCGGATTTTGAAATTGACAAGGAACCTATGCGTGTGATGCCATTGTGGGTCAACTTTCCTGGGCTACCTATCCAATGTTGGGCAGAAGAGAACTTGGGAAGAATTGCTAGTTGTTTGGGGAAGCCTGTATGTACTGATAGATTAACAGCAGAGTGTGAGAGAATATCTTATGCTCGTGTGCTAATTGAAATGGATATAACACAACCGATGCCAGATGAGCTGAAACTAGAACAAAAAGATGGCAAAATTAGGGTGCAAAGTGTGGAGTATGAATGGAAACTAGTATTCTGTCAAGAATGCAACAAATTTGGGCATCCTAATGGTGAATGCAAAAAGGAACCACAGAGAGGGATGCAGAGGAAAAAGGATAAAAAGCAGCAATGGGTGAGGAAAGCTAAAGAAGATGACAATGAAGAGAAAAAAATACCACCTGAGAAGGAGATACAGAAGGAAGAAGAGAGTACACAAGAGAAGTTGCAAGAGGTACAAATACAGATTGAAGATAGGGGCAAACAGATTAAGATTTACCAGGGCAAGCCTAAAACAAAAGGACAGCCTCCTATTGAACTTGAAGAACTAACAAGAAGGAACAAGTATGCAGTATTGAGAATTCAGGAAGAACCACCTCACAGGATTGAAAAAAGGCACATACAAGGGGTTACAAAAGGGCCTACTCCAACTACAATCCCACTAATATGATACTCAGCACTTGGAACATTAGAGGACTTAATAAGTCCTTTAAACAAAGAGAGTTTAAGGACTTTCTGACTAAGAGTAAAATAGATTTGGTAGGATGTTTGGAAACCAGAGTGAAACAAAGAAATGCACAAAAGATTCAAATGAAGTTTGGAAGGGAATGGAGAATAATAGATAACTATGCAGAAGCACCTAATGGTAGAATATAAGTATGGTGGAAAGAGACAGCAGTGAAGCTAAGCCTAATACAGGTAACCTCACAGCTGGTGCACTGTCATATACAAGATAATAACTCTGAATTTCATAGTTATTTGACTATTATGTATGGCTTACATACTATTGCTGAAAGGAAAGAGTTATGGAATTAACTAAGAAGCATAAATGCAGGGACTATAGGTCCTTGGTTAATCCTAGGTGATTTCAACAGTATACTGTCAGTGGAGGATAGAATAAATGGGGCTCCTGTTCATCAAAATGAAGTAATTGATTTCAATCAGTGCATTGAGGATGTTGGAGTAGGGCTGGTCAATAAAAAAGGGATACAAACTCATGGAGCAAGAGAGAGGTGGAGAATAGAATCTATAGTCATATAGACTGGGTATTTGGAAATGCAGATTGGTTTGGGAGGTATGCAGGAATTGAAGCAGTTTATCTAGCACCAGGATGCTCTGATCATACACCTATAGTACTGAACTCAGAGGTGCAAAGAATGCAGAGGAGGAAACCATATAGACTACTAAATGTGGTATTACAACAAGAGGACTTTAAGGAAGCAGTTAAATCTATATGGAGCCAGGAAGTAGAAGGATACACCATGTACAAAATATGCATGAAGCTGTAACAAGTGGAAATGCAAACCAGGGGGATTCAGAAACAATATTCATCAGTGGAGGTGAAACTCAAACAGCTAAAGGAGGAACTAAATGGGATTCAACAGGGTATAAATGGTGATCAGTTCAATCCAATTCTCATTGAGCAAGAAAAGAGAGTACAGATGCTAATAGAAAAATGGGATGCAGTTCATGAGAAGATTTTAAGACAGAAATCAAGGGCAATATGGATCAAATATGGAGACTTAAACACTAAGTACTTCCATGCACAACTGAAGGCTAGACAAGCAAGGAATAAAATCAGTTCTATATGCACATCACAAAATTTGAGGGTGACTGATCCACAACAGATACAGCAGGAATTCATACAGGTCTTCAAGAAGCTACTAGGTGAAGCTGCTCCAGTAATGACAGGAATTGATGTTACTATAGCTAGAGATGGACCATGTTTAACACTAGCACAACAGCAGGAAATGATGAAGCCTATAACAAGGGAGGAAATTGTAAAAGTGGTCCAAGACTTACCAAGAGACAAAGCTCCAGGAATAGATGGCTATCCAGCAGAATTTTTTCAAGAAAACTGGCAAGTGGTTGGGGAGGATGTTATAAAAGCAGTGCTGGAATTCTTTGATACAGGGAAGATGCTGAAAGAAATAAACTGCACAACTATCACACTTGTCCCAAGGTGGTAAATCCTAACTTTGTAAAGGAATTCAGGCCTATTGCTTGCTGCACAACCATGTACAAGATCATAGCTAAGCTGCTCACTAACAGGCTCAAGCTGGTAGTAGATTGTTTGGTGGGACCTTCACAGTCGGCTTTTATAGAAGGGAGAAACATCTTAGATAATGTCCTACTGGCACATGAACTCATTAAAGGATACCAGCAGAAATCAGTGTCTCCAAGATGCATAGTAAAAGTAGACAGAAAGAAAGCATATGACTCTGTAGATTGGAACTTCTTAAGGACTCTAATGCTGGAATTGGGCATCCCAAACAAGATGGTCAGCCTGATAATGGAGTGTGTAAGCACAGTTTCTTATTCTCTTCTGATGAATGGAGGTTTGACACCAAAATTTCAGGCAAAAAAGGGATTAAGACAAGGTGATCCAATATCACCTTACCTATTTGTGTTGGTGATGGAATACTTGAACAGGGCCTTGTAGCAACTGGATTCAAATCCCAAATGTGCAAAACTGAGATTGATTCATATATGCTTTGCTGATGACATTCTAATGTGCTGTAGAGCAGACAGGATATCCATTGAGCTAATGATGAACCAATTTGAAAAATTCTCAATTGTGTCTGGGCTGCAAGCAAACATGGAGAAAAGCTCAATATATGTAGCAGGGATATCCACAAAGTACAGAGATGAAATTCTGCAGAATTTAAAGCTGACCATTGGAGAATTACCATTCAAATACCTGGGGGTTCCATTATCCTCAAAGAAACTCAACATCACCCAATGCATGCCACTGGTGGAGAGAATAGCAGGAAGAGTTAAATGCTGGACATCCAGATTCTTATCATATGCAGGAAGGGTTCAATTGATCAAAAGTGTACTGTTTGAAATGCAAACCTACTGGGCACAAGTGTTCCTGATTCCAAAAAAAGTTCATGAAATGGTTACTACTATTTGCAGGAATTTTCTATGGAAAGGGAGCACTGAAGGGAAGAAGGCATCAATAGCATGGGAAACTGTCTGTAAACCAAAGGCAGCAGGAGGCTTGAATATCATAAACTTCTCACTATGGAACAAGGCAACAATAGGTAAACTATTATGGTCAATTGCACAAAAGAAGGACAAGCTATGGGTATGTGGATTCACCATCACTATATGAAGCAGAAGGACCTGGAAAATATGAAAACACCTAAGTAAGCTAGCTGGGTGATAAGGAAAGTATTTGAAGCAAGAAGATGGCTAACCAATGGAGTGAAGGAACTGGAGCTATATGCAGTACAGGGCAGTACAAAATCAGCAAAGCATACACTTCACTTATGCCACAATACCCAAAGGTCAACTAGAAAACATTGCTCTTGACACAAGGCATCATACCTAGACATCAGTTCATTTTATGGATGTCATTGCAGCAGAGATTAGCTACGGTGGATAGATTAAGCAAATGGGGAATGACAGTTCCTAAGGAATGTGTGTTATGCATGACTGATAAAGAGGAAACACATGAACATTTATTTTTTGAATGCTCATTTTCAAGATTCATGTGGGAGCAGCTACTAACTCTATTTGGAATACATCGACAGATAGGTAGTTGGCAAGAGGAAACTACATGGATGATAACAAGAACGAGGAGCAGGAAAGAACTGTGGAAGATACTGGGAAATGCATTTGCAGCAACAGTATATCAAACGTGGTTGGAAAGAAACCTACGAAGATTTCAACAAGCAAAAAGAGATTGTAGGGAGATACTTAGAGATATTGTACTTCATATACATATTAGAGGTGAGAACTATTGTAAATGGAGAGAAGTATTAGCAAAGATAAATAGGTATCCATGTTAGCATAGATAGTAAGTTCTATTAAAGTGTGTTAAAAAAGCTATTTTTGTAGGACCCGACTCTAGAGTCAAATGAGCAGGCGGATGTAAATATTTTACTTGGTTAAATACAATTTCTCAGTTTAACCAAAAAAAAAAAAAACTAATTGTATGAAGCGGTCATTAACTGATCATTGAATGGTGATTATTCCATTTTGTGTCTTTTGTATTTTTATTGAAGTAACTGCTAATTTGTTAGTTTATTGTTAGCCAACAACTCCTAAGTACATTATTATTAATAATCTAAACGTTACTGCACTGAAAAACACCCCTAACGAAACCCCATCCATTCGTTTAGTCAACTAAATCGTAAAAAACCAAAATAAAATATTTCTCAAAGCCAAACGACAAAGCAGTGTACTTGATTTTGCCAAATCCGTGAGTTGTCTGATAAAAAAAGCAAGTGGCAGGACTCAGGAGTCACATTATGTTGTTTTTAGCGGAAGCAATTCTTAGAAAATATTATCTTCATTGATAAAAGCTAAAAATCATGTCTATCAAAGTGCTGAGCTAATAGTAAGAGATCAAGTGGACGTTTGAATATATCAAATCTTTAAATTAAAATAACAAAAAATAAATGGCATACGTTTATTGAAAATGCAGAGAATGACTAGAGCAAGGGCGGATCACTATAGAAGTTATGTGTTTCGCAATCTAATATTTTTGGGTTAAAAGTTAGAAAAATAATTGGATAAAATAATCTAGCATCGAAAGTATAATCATTGTCTTTAAGGAATTTAAGCTTTCCACTTTGTTGCTGCAGGAATAATATCATAATTCCTCCAGGATTTTACAAAGCCATTGAAATTTGAATATCAACAACTATGGCCTAAGACCTCTTTTTTTTTTTAAGATTAAAACGTCTGAATCTGAATACAGATCTGAATATCAAGATGTGTATTAAGATTAAGACATCTGAATCTGAATACACATCTGAATATATTAAGATGTGTATTAAGATCAAAAAAGGAAATAATTAAGACAGTTTGATTTTTAACATCTGAATGTATAAAATTTATTTTTATTTGAAAATTAATAAACACAAAATTCAAATGAAATACTAACTAATCTAATATTCTATCAATAAAATATATAGTTTTTTAAAATATGATAGTTGTTGGTGGTGATGGCTAACGGGTGAATGCAGACTAGAGGCGGTGGTTGGTGGTAGTTTTGGTTGATAATGGTGGTTCATGCTAGTAGCTAGTAGTGATTGGTAGTGGTAACGATTATGATTGAGGATAGTGGTGGTTGGTGGTTATAGTTAATAATGGCGGGTGGTGGTAGTAGTTGTGTCTGAGGAAGGTTGTGGGTAGGTGGTGGTAGGTTATAATGATGAGCAATGCCGGCTGTGGTTGTTGATGGTGATGGGGTGGTCAGTTGTGGCAGTTGAGGTGGATGAGTGTTGATTATGTGTGAGAATGATGGTGGTCGGAGTGGTGGGGATAGTAGGTGGTGATGGTCGATAATGGTGGCGGCTATGATTGAGGATGATGGTGGCGTGGTGGTGGTGGAGGTGGCGGTGAGTATGGTGGTGGTGGCGGCATGGTGGTAGTTGATATGATAGGCGGTGACGGCAGTTAATGATGAATATGTGATAGTGTCACGACCCGGATTTT